GGTCCGTCAGCTCAGCCCCCGTAGTGTGCATGAATTCTCGTACCGCGATTCTCCATCGCGTTAAAATCTCGTGTATAGGCTCACCTTCGTTGTCCACATGTGATCCAGCACTCGATTTTTCTCCGCGATAGTCAAATCCGTGTCGCTTTCGTCTGATGCACGCAGTATACCCCACACGTCGAAAACGCTTTTGTTGAGAACAGCAGTCTCGATATCATCATGCAGAGAGCGCTACACAATGTGCATGGCCTCTGCAGCTTGTATCACTGCGTCAAATTGACGGAGTCCGTCAGGATACTTCGCTTCGACGAGCTCGCCTTTGTAGTTGAACGACTGGCTCCCATTGTAGCCCTGCATCAACATGTATCCTAGAAATCCCTGACGCATCAGCTCGTTCTTTACTCGAGCTCGCCAGGCACGGAAATGGTTAGTACCGTCAAAGATCATTGCGCCGTGGTTACCAGTGACACCCATCATCAGCACGCAATGGAAAAATGAGCACAAGAAGCGAATTCGTGGTCAAATTGCTTCAGCGTGAATCTCAACCAATTAGCAGCTTTTGTTTAGATCAACAGTGTCTTTGACAGGAGTGTTGCTTGCAGAATGGCTGATGCAGTTCAGCTTTGACAGGAGTGTTGCTTGCAGAATGGCTGATGCAGTTCCCGATCGTCACGATTTTCCCTTGGACTACGACGTTCACTTCCAGAGTCCTCTCGAAGCTTCCTACACGGATGTGGAGCAGCTCCAGACGTTCGTTCAGACTCTGCCTGAAGGAGTGTACCTTACGAGCGTTGGTCACAGTCTCGTTGGACATTGTGTCGTCGTCCTCGCGAAGGGGCAAGGAGCCGATGGGTCGATACTGGTTTGAACCACCGGTGACCCCAGAATCATTGTCCAACTTGGATTATCTTGACAAGGTCAAATGAATGGGCTTAGAGAAGCTGAATCCAGGGTATCTCTTTCGCCGCGGTAAGCGCAAGCCCAGACCGAATCGAAGGAAAGCCGTGAGAAGAAGAAGCAGCACAAATTGCAGGGGATGTAGTACTGGAATGAATGTAGGTTCTTGGCCCCCTTATCCTTGGTTTTGCTGCTCAACATCTGCGTCATTTCTTCCGTCTGGATGCCTCAAAGCTTGCAATTAGAACTGGTACTTGTGACAGATTCTCGATTGGTTCCCACGTATGTATTTCATCACCCACCCACTCCACAAGAAATTGCATCCGTCGTTTGCGAGTGAGCTTGCGAGCAGCCGCTGAACGAGCTGGCCAACGGCTCCGTCGGCCAGAACGACATTATGGGGCTTCGAAAACCGGGTTGGCTAGTTGGATGGATTTAAGACCTTGTGTTGAAGGCTGGATGGAGCGGGTTGCCTGCTTGGATGTTGAGCTCGTACGCGTGGTTGTGAACCCTCTACACGACCGTGTATGGACCCATCCACTTTGGACCAAGCTTGGTCGAGTTCGGTAATCCGGTATGCTTGGAATCCAACTGCTTCACGAGCCAGTACACACGGTCGCCAACTTCAAAGACTTGCTCCTCTCGGTGTCGGTCGTACACGTCGTGCATTCTCTCCTGCGCTTCCGTAAGTGCGTCCTGACACCGTCGAAAAATAGCTTCTTGTCGCTCGTAAAACTCACCTCCGCGTCGACCGATTGAGACCTTACCACGATTAGCAGCTGCGAGCTGAAGCGGGTTAATTGGAATGTATCCCAGATCAGCTTTGAAAGGCGCAATTTTAATTCTACTGTTGACGGTAGAGCTCACAGCAAACTCCGCATTCACGAGGTGGATATTCCAATCGTCTTGGATAGGTCCGACATAGCACCGCAAGTACTCTTCCAGGGTTCGGCTCATCCGCTCAGCCTGGCCATCGCTTTGGGCACTATGTGCTACGTCTTGTTGAGCGTTGTCCCGAGACTTAAAGACGTGCTGCCAGAACTTGGACACGAACTGTCTGTCGCGGTCAGACACATTGCTAGTGGGCATACTGTGAATCTTCCATAAATGGTCGATGAAGAGACGGGCAACGCCTTCGACATCTACCTTCTTCATAGTTGGAACGAAAGGCAGCGCTTTGTCCGCCGGTCAACAGCCACCCAGAAGGAATCCACTTCTGGCTTTGTTATTCGTAAGTCGGTGATCGCCGCAAAGACTGCTTGTGCGTCGCGGTCCATCATATACGCCTTCTTAAAGTCCGCGATCAGCTTGGTGTCCGTGGTCACTTCACCTAGCGCTAAGCTGAACGATGTATCATCGAAGCTAGTCACACTCAAGTCGTGGAAGAACTTGGTTACCGGTTGAAAATCAGGTCTCCAGCTTAACGCATCGGCTATGCCGTTCTTCGCACCCCAAAGATACGAGAACGTTGGCTGGTACTCAGCGAGGATCTCGTACCATCGTGCGAGTCGACGGTTAGCCATTTTCTGCGTGAAAAGTCTTCCGAGATTCTTGTGATCTGTTTCGACAATCGGTGGTTTGTTCAGACAGTAGATACGGAAAGCAGCTAGGGCATGGACGATGCCAAGAGCTCTTGCTGATGCGTCGGGTAGTTGGGCTCTGCCGCTATCATTTTTCTGCTGGTATACGCAATCGGACGTTCCACACCGTCAACGACCTAGGATAGCACGCCACCAGCTGCGAACTTGCTGGCGTCCGCTCGAAGATGCATATGCTCATTGAAGTCCGGTAGATGCAACACGGGCGGGTAGCACAACAGTCGCTTTAACTCCTTAAAGTTCTTTAACCGCTCGTCGTCGAAGTGGATCTTTGCGCTACGCTCGTCCTTCTTTTTGAGGAGAGCGAACGTGGTAGCTGTAAGCGAGGCATACTCTGGGCAGAATCGCTGAACATAGCTGGTAATACCTTGAAATCTTTGGAGCTCCTCTTAGGTCCGTGGTATCGACCCGTCCTTGATCGTCCAGACTTTGTCGGGATCTATACGCACTAAGCTGCGTCGAGCAAAGTCACCAAGACACGGAATATCACCCGAGCAGAAGACACACTTGGGCAGCTTCACATACAACTTGTTGTCGCGCAAAATATCCAGGGTCTCTGCAACGTTTTCAGGTAGGCTATGATGTTCTTCGACTTCGTGAAGATGTAGATGTCATCGTAAAGCGACTTCGTATTCTCCAAGCCGCGACACACCTTTGACGTCAATCGATGCATCGTAGCCGGCGCGTTACAGACTCCCACGGGCAAGACAAGATACTCCCATATTATGTTCGGCGCCTAGAATGCGGTGAGCGTGATGGCCTCCTCACGCATGCGCACTTGACAGTACGCCGACACTAGGTCCATCGTCGAGAGCTAGTACGCTCCCGACATAGCGTCCAAGATGACTATCTTTCGAGTCATTGGGATGCTTTGGCGTGCTGTATTGGAGTTGAGATACCGGTAGTTGTGCACGATTCGCCAACCGATAGGTTTTCGTACACAGAATGTCGAACCAGCATGGGGACTGATACTGGGTCGAATCAGCTTCTTCTTCACCATGTCTTCAGCCCAACACCATCTCGCGCTGCTGCCCCAGAGACTACCGCCACTGTTGCCGGTACATTGCAAGGTTTAGACTCTTCACGTCAATCCAGTGAGCGATTTCTCGCTTCTCGGGTAAGCCTTCGGGGAGCTCAGGGCGGAACACGCTATCCTTATACTCCGTACAAAGATCGAAGGCAGAGTTGCTCCGGAAGGTTTCCCAATCCGTCTCCAGATACCGCTGTGTCTATTTACTCTCGACTTTTTCTGGTTGATCACGCCGCTGCAGCGAGCGAGCGACTTGCTTGATCGTCGCATTCGACAGAACCAACATGAAGTCTGGCTCGTCAATCGACTTGGTCTTGATTCTCAGGAAGTTTCGAAGCTTCTTTGGGTGATGTACTTGGTCTGCGTCGTCGACAACACCCATCGTGAACGTCTTCTCCACGACGCTGTTCTTCCCATGAGTACTATTGCAATCGTCAATTTTTTGGATAGTACCCTCGCGCCGCAATGACTTCTCGCCATCTCTTGCTGCCGAACCCTTGCCGGCTGGCGCGTCTTCTCATTGTTCGCAAATAACGCTTGGGATCTCTTCTCGCACTCGGTCGCGAGCAGGTCCGGCCGCGGACGTCACATCCGTTTCCAGTGCGGCGCCTCGACAGGAATCGGGTCTTTTCGAAGATAGGCCTTTCGCCTCGACAAATCTCCGAAGCCCGGAGGCAGTCACCGGTCCGCCTTCCTCGATCGACCCGTAGGCCTCGCCTGTTCGTTCCCAGCGCAGAGTCTTGATTCCAGTTTCTTCGATTCGTAAACCTCTCCAGTCGATCTGGGGCTGGATGTCCTCAAAGAACGGAATTCCAACGATTCCGTCAAATTCGTCGGGGATCACGTACATGGCAACCACACGCTTGTACGCCTCGTGTATACCAGACACCGTGACATCAAGAGATAGGACCTCCAGCCCCGTCTCGATGATCTCGCTGTCTCCAAGTTTGACACGGATGTTTTTGTCATTGAGCTTTGTTGTCTGGAGTCGGTGCTGCTCGACCCAACGTTTCGATACGTAGATCGTGGTAGCTCCCCGGCCCAACAGCATTACTGCCTTAAAGACAACCGTACGTATCAACACTGCAAATATTTTGAGATCGACTCTAAAAATGGGTAGCATCCATAAGAATCGCAGTCATATTTCGTGCCGGGTTACGGAGAAGCGAACACCTGTTATGGTGCGAGAGCTTGACGCGGACGTCACAAAAATATCTACACATCGCCCGTCCGTTCTGCGAGGGGATACAAAACAAATACATGGGATCTCTCTACCCCGGGACGACGTTCAAGTTATTCAAAACAGCAAGTACTGTACTAACGTTTTAATCACAGGTTAGTACACTTGTAGTTCATGCCGTCAGCTTTGTTCGGGGCCCTGACAGTCGGGTTGGACAAACAGCATTAACTTTTTCACTATTGAAAAAAAATACTGCCGTCGGGTCAAAACTTTATGCGCACTTTGCAGCTTCTCCTTAATAAAGTGCTGTGGCGCCTTTCAGCGCCATCGCCAAGTGCAAACGCTTCGGCATGCTCTTGACAAAGTTTCTTGATTTAATCGGGCTCGAGACGTGCCCGGGCTTGATGAAAGCCTTCAATTCGGCTCGGCTGTCAAACCGACGTCCATTTGCATACACCCGACCGACCAAAAGTCCCTCCATGATGTTAAAATCAAGACGTTTGGCGGAACACTCCATAGTTGTAACGTTGTTAGCGTTGAGGAATCCCTTAGTGAGCCTCAAAGCATGTATTGAGGCGTTATCCTGTTTAAATATTGGCTCAATATTGTCCTTTTTCAGGCGGAATTTTTCCTTGTAAGGAAGCACTTTTTCTCGCAGCGTTTGGCTGAGTCCTGCGTTCGTGCTAGAAAAATTACGTCCGTATTGCCGCACATCGACACGCCCGCCCATATCATGACGCTTCCAATACAGTTGACCCGCTTCGCAATTAGTTTCGGCGCCGCTTTAATGTCGTGCCAGTAGCAGCGGAACCTACCAGGGTCGTTTAAACTAAAACAAAATCGTCAGTAAACATTACATTCTTCCAATACTTCCTGCAATCTGCATACTTGTTTGCAAATTTCACTCTGGCCACCTTGTGTTGGGGCTTCAGCGCTGGAGCAGGTCTCCTTTTTAAATACTTGGCGTATCGGTTCCTGCGCAGCACTCGTAGATCCGTAGATGCACTGGGTCAGCGTGACAACAGTCCCGCGATATTTTTGGAAGACAGGTTGAGCGTTCCGGCGAGTCAAATTATCTGTTTGACACTTTGCACGTCGATAACGGATGGTCTGTCAATTTTCTTGGACCGCTGAGTACACTTAGACTTCTTCAGGAAGTTTCTAACGGCCCCTCTGTGCGTTCGAGGTGCCTATCGATCTCGCAGCTACTTAGACACTGACGCATCAGCTGGCGCGTGGTCACGCTCGACGAGCGTGCGCAGCGACCTGTAACCTCGGGTAACAACGTGAAAGAACGCCGTAGCTGGTGCCAGTGTCGACGCAGATAGACTTTGACGTGGTCTGGCGAGACTCTGTTAAAGCATCGCTTCAATCATAACGTGGTCATCCACGCGACACCGTTTTATCAGGCGAGGACACATCAGGCGGAACCAAGAGAAACCGCTGACGACGTGGAATTTCCACGACGACCAAGCGCCCATGGCGGCGAATTCACGGGAAACGCACCAGCCGTTTGAGACTTCGAGCACCAACATCTCGTGAAGCTTCGCCCCGTGGACTGGGCGAAGAGGACTGCGACATTGGAACACGGACGTTTGCATGCTTGGACATCACTCGCAAAATTGCGAACGACAAGAAGATGAGAGACAGGCTTGGGCTGCTGGAAGCTTGTGACCTGCTCACGCCTCGTCAACGTACTCACTCAATCTCTTACCCACTCACTCAATCGTTTGCTCGGCTCATACACCGAGTGGTTCAGTGGTACATCGACCAGTTCACGCGCGGACGGCCACTGGTTCGAACCCAGCGTCGACTCCAACTCTTTTCTCATTTAATGTATTTAGCATCTTCACGCACGCACAGAGACTGTTCACTTTTTCCACTCACGATTTGGGACGTTAGTGTCTTCTCGTACTCGATCACCACATCTGGGACGGCTTCCATCAAGCGATTGCGTGGCTCCCAGATGCCTTCCGCTGGGTAGAGACCCGACCAACGCATGCGATAGTGTCGCTCCTTGTTCCGCAGAAAGTGACCCTGTGGCGACTCCTCGGATTGCTCGTCGTGAGTACCACGGCAGTGGCGAAGGTCATGGTCGACTCTTCGCTCAACGATCCAACGCTAAGCGCCCGAAGAATCGATCAAAGGAGGAGGTCCATCTCGCTAGAAAGTTGCCACGCCGTTTGAGGAAGAATCAGCGTCCGGGATCTCGGACGGATGGCACTTCTTTAAACGTCCGACGTAGAACGTCGGATATAGCCGTAGTGTGAATTAACTGTCGAGCATATACGCAATAACCTTGGCTACCGTAAACGGTCCAATAAAGCGCGGTGCAAGTTTGTTAGCGCCGAGGTTCGTGCCCGCCCAGTTACTGATACCATCGGCTGACAGGAGCACTCGTTCACCTGTCGTAAACGTGGCCGTATTCGTGCGGCTAGTTCTGTCAGTGTTCTCCTTCTGCTTGTCCACTGCGTCCTGCGGTACGTGTCGAACATAGCGGGTAATTACTTGGCATTGTACGAAAGAAGATTCTTGCTGAGGCCCCAATCCTCGCGCTCCCAGATGACTCGAAACATTTTCACGTCGTCTGCGACTCGAGCGATTTTGCCATCGACTGTGCGCTGGTGCAATTTGACGATGAAGACCGCGAGCGCGTCGTAAGCTACCAGTTGAGACATATGAAGCCGGTGAAGCGCAACTATTCTGTCCACGACAAGGTGTTCCTCGCGATGCACTACGCTCTGATCAAGTTCAGAGTGTACTTGCTGGGCGAAAATACCTTCGCGGTGTGCACCGACCAGGCATCGCTGAGGACAGCGATGAAGAATCCCCATCTCTTTCAGCGGATGGCTTGCTGGCTTTTATTCTTCCCTGAGTACAAATTTGTGGTCCATTACAAACCCGGCAAGAACAAAATTCTCGCCAACGCTTTGTCTCGGCGTCCCGACTACGATCCACGCGGCGCATGGGGTCGACAAGCTTCGCTCGAAGAAGACGATGTAGACGAGGGTCTCCCCGGAAATGCCACTTCGCGACAAAATCCGAACTGCTTACGAGCATGACTCGACGTACTCCAGTATCCTGGAACATCTTCTCTCTACCAGCGCCGATACACTGGGAGCTCAATTTCGCTCCGAACGGAGCCGTATCCACCGTTATCGTCTTGAGGATGGACGGCTGGTGTACAGCATCGACAACTTCGAGGCATCACGTGCCGCTGCTCCTAACGACCCCAATCTGCGCTCACGGATTATCCATGAGGTTCACGATGCCCCGCTGGGCGCGTATCTCGGTCGCGAGAAGACGTTCGCCGCTTTGTCACGCGACTTCTATTGGCCCCATCAGAACAAATAGGTATGTAAGAGGGAGCGCACATGTCAGATCTGTCAGCGCGTGGAGCCTTCTTTATCGGCGCAGGCGCCTCTGTCGTTTCTCCCAGTGACCATCGAGGCCTGGCGCTTGGTGTCGATGGACTTCATCTTCAGGCTTTCACCCGATACTAAAGGATGAACAAGTGTATTGGTGTAGTCGAACGCTTCAGCAAGATGGTCCATCTGATTCTGGTGTTGGACGCGATCACCGCGGTATCAGCCGCGGTGATCGTCATCTATGCTATCTTCAGCCATCATGTTCTTTCGGAATTCATCGTTTCCGACCGCGACCCGCGCTTCGCGTCGGCCTTCTGGTCGAAACGCTTCAAATTACTGGACTCGAAGTTGTTGATGTCCACGGCAGCCTATCCGGAAACGGACAGCCGGATTGTGCGCGTAAATAGTGTCCTTGAAGACGCTCTTCTAGATAACGCGACGTCGTTCTCCAGCTGGAGCTCGCTCCTGCCTGCTGCCGAGTTTGCGCTGAACAGCGCGGTGCACGCGTCGACGGGGCTGACGCCTTTCTTCGTTAATAACGCGCGCCACCCGCGTGTTCCTCACCGTTGGGCATCCCACGGCGCCGTGTGTCTCCACGCTGGGTGGCAAAGAAGCTGTGAACAAGCCGTCCACCCCAGATTTAAAACCACCGGCGGCAACGTCAATGCTAAGCCAAACGGTATCGATACCGGCTGTCCGTGATCTCTCGAGTGTAACCTCAAAGCTCGTTTCGGCTAGCGTGGTAACACGCGCCCAAACTAAGATGATTTTGACAGCGCCGCACAGCACGGCATCTCCTCTCGCAGCTTGGACTATCTGTAACTCGATCAGCCCCCGAGCGGCTTCGAGCGCACTTGTGCCAGCTAGCTACGCGCCAAAGCAAGCAGCGCGGCCAATCGACTCCGCAGCCGTCTCCGGATTCGTACCGAGTCAAGGGCAGTTTGATGTGCGGTAGCCCACGACCACGGCACATCTTTTTTCAATAACGACGAAAGCGGCTGGATTAATCTTATTATTCCAGCAATAAGCATTATTATTCGTATACTTGTGGAAGTAATTTGCGAGACCCAACCACTGAGGCAATTCAGTGGGGTTCTGTGGCGTAGGCCACGCACATATCGACGACACTATCTTGTAGTCGGTGCGGACACGGTTCTTACTCACAAAGCAGCCAAGTACCGGAGATTTCGGCGCGCAGAAGATGCACTTCTTCAAGCTCGCGTACAGCTTGTTTTTGCGCATCACTTGGAAGACTTGCCTCAGATGCTTCAAGTGGACCTCGAGCGCGCTGAGGGAGGCCTCAGCGCGACTGTGTACGAAGATGTCGTCGAAGTAGCTCCGTGCGAAGTCACGAAGCGGGCGCAGCACATGGGAGACCATGCGATTGAGCGTGACGGGGGCATTCGTCAAGCCTTGTGACATTGCAAGCCATTCCCATAGCATACCACTGGGAGTGCTTACTGCTGTGAGCGGTTTGTCACTCAACCCCATTAGGGTTTGATAAAATCCTTCGGTCAAGTCAATGGTGCGTAGACCTCACTACCCTACATAGCATCGAGCATCATGTCCTTCCGAGGAATCGGCGTCTGGGCAGGAAGGGTAGCGTCGTTCAGATTGTTGAAGGCATGAACGATGCGCCACCCACCCGTGGCTTTCTTTACACAGGAGGTCGGACTAGAGTGCGGCGATGTGCTCTCACGCATATGACCTGCCTTGCGGCGGCTCTCTAAGAAGTCGTCAATTGCTTGGACCTGATCTCGCGGAGCCACTGCCATATCACACAATATTCGGTCATGCACGAGATTGATCTCGTGGTGAGCTCCTCGGTCAGCTGGTAACTCAGCTGGGATCATATCCGGAAACACATCTTCATATTCGCGGGCGGACACGTCGACTGAACTACCTGATTTGCGTAACACTTTTCAAGATTGCGCTGCGAAGCGCTCCTCGCGGACCGATTTCTATTCGGCGCTCTTTGGGCGCGAGGGAGCGTCATCGTCACTGACAGCATTCACTTGCGCAACGCCGAATCGACGTCGGTGATCAGGCAGATCTGTTCGATTTCACCGTTCTTGAGACTGCGAAGGGAGTTCTTCCAGGAGAGACCTGGATGTCGAGTGATCGACCGCCCCTCTCGAGGCGGATTTGCAATCTCGAGCGTTCGTCGACGATCGGAGGTATATTCCACATACTCAAGCATGCAGACCGACTCCGTCGGTGAGCTGTCACTTGGTACGAGCTCTCGGCGAGGTGTCAGCCGACGCCGCTTCGATTTCTTCTTTCGCCGCCTCGAGTGCGAGCTTGAGGATGATGAGTCGCTCTGGCTGGACAAGATCTCACCCCCCTCTAGCGGTAGCTCCTC